TTAGTGTTTGTCCCAATGATATATTTTTCTGAGCAAATAAGACAGAGGACTAGGGCCCAGTATACATTACAGAAGCTTTGATGCCATTTAACTGCTGACTGTGATAGACACAGCTGAGGCAGCTGGGCTGCAATCAGGTGCTGAGTAGATATGGACAAATCCAAGGATGAGGTCACGGAGGAAAGGAGGGTCAGAGGAGAATCCAGAGGAGATGTTAAGCAAAGCAAAACCAGAGACCAGAAAACAAACTGGAATTATCAAAGGCAGAACAAAATCCTCTGGTTTTGTGATTTAGAACCAGAACCTCCATCCCTCCCCCCCCTCAAAAAAAGGCAACACACCATTAAGATTGAATAGCTATAACTGAACCAAAAGTATAAGCAAGAGGCCTTAACACCAGAGTTTGACTGACTGATAGATTTATTAACTGTAGGTGTGAGTGATTATTGAGTGATTCCTCTGTAAATGGGCGTGGCTATGGAGAATGACCATGTCTGTGACCAGCAAATAATGAATTTGAGTTTGGACTGGATGTGACACTTCGATGGCATGCAATTAATTCTGAATAACCGCCACAGCGAAATAAAACCATCCAAAGTGGTGATATTTTTTAACAATAGGCTCATTTTTTCTAAAACAAAAGATTGATACTGAGCAGTTTGTCTTCAGTTATCTTCATTTGCCTGCACTGAAGCTAAATTAGAAGAAATTCAAATAAACTGGTACATTCATGAGTCAAAATCAAGACAGAAGACTGTGGGTGGACAAAAACAGGATTATACACCCAAAGAGCATCAGACATCACTTACAGTCAAATGCAACACCTAAGCAACTTCAAGCTTGCACAGTTCCTAAGAGTCGTTTTCCTGAATCAAATTTAAGTCAAACACAAAGAAGTCCCACTTTATTATGTTGTTACCATGCAACATGGACAGATCAAAAAGGGGGCTGGGCACCTTTTTAGCTTCTAATTGAAAACAAGGATTTGGGAACTAGCAATGGACATGCCGTGCTCATATGTTTTATGTCATAAATATACTTTAATTGCCAGGAAATGCACTCTGTTTTAAATAGGGGCATTAAACAGTCTGACTCTGACTTATTTGCAGTCGAGGTTCATTGCTTTTTTCCAATTCCACCTTTAATAAACCAGTAATAAACAGGAGTGACAGTGCTAAAGTTCCAGCCGCACTCATGGTGAGGGCCGACGGAGGCAGTGCAGAGACTCCGGCACTCCTGTCCTAATTAAATGTGCCTATGGGTTCTGAATAACTCGATACGCTCCTACAGACATATTCAGGCTTCCACAAAAGGGCAAAAAAAAAAGAACTCAAAAACTCAGAATCCATTTGGACAGAAATGCAGTCCTTTACACCACGTGTAATTTTCTAGGACAGCAACTATTTAGGGCTGAGAAGTCTTTTCTGTGCCAAACCATTTCATCTGTAAATATAGTACACATTTTGTTTACCATATAATGAATTTGGTACATTGAAGGTTTAAGGTTTTGTTTAAATATCTTACACAATCAATGGTAAGTACTGCACCTTTCTCAAGAGCCCATCAAGACATAGGCTTTACTGCTGCAGTTTGCTGGCTTATGTTAATTTATTTATGAACCGAAATGGGAGGCGGCCTGGGCCCCTAGCTCTTCATGTTGCAGTCCATGTCATCATTTTAATTGTTTTGTGAACTTCTCAGTATCATTGGATAATTTTAAAAACTACCCAACACATTATGTCTGATAATTGGGAAAAGTGGCAAATTGATAGATCGAGCCGCTCATGAACAGGAATCAGGATGGAGGAAAAACGATTATGCTTCCATCTGCTTTCCAGCTTAATGAGACAGCCGGCTCTACTTTGAGTAGAATACGGCTGCCCACTCAGAAGATAATAATGTGGAAAATGAGCCCACGTGCAATGCAGTCCCCCTTTAACCTTCCATTGAAGCTCGGAGGAGGACGTCCTCAGCAACGCTTCTTGATGGCTTTTTCCGGCTCCTTCTCTGAATCACTGAGTTGGCATCTCACGGTGAGTGTATCAGATGCTTTTTCATTGCATCACCCAGTTCAGTCACTTCCTATTGTAAGTTCAAGACCGTTCAGCTTTGGTTCTTTCAGCTTTTGCCCAAAGTAATACATCAAAAAGTATAGAAGACTTACTCTAAAGTTTTGTATATCTGTGCAATGGACCATTTCCCAGAACCATTAAAACAAACAATATGGCTGCATCTGTTATTTCATGTACTGTATAGTTTACTCAATAAAACATCAAGTATTAACCACAAGTTAATATGTATTATTTGAATAATACATATTAGAATGTGGTGTGGCAGCGTGGATGAAGACACTATAGACTTTATATTGCAATTTTCTGCTTGAAATTTGACTTTTGCACTTTACTCAGTTGCTTAACCTGGTTTAACCTGAGTAAAACTGTACTGTCTGCCTAAGATGCACTGAATAAAAACCAGAGACTTTTCCCCAGAGCATTTTACTACATGCCTGGGCTCTCAAATTCGCTGTAATGCCAGCAAAACAGCAGTAGCATTAATCTCACAGTTCATTACATAAAGTAAATCATGCAGTGCATTAGTTATGTTAGCCTGACTTTCATATTACCATAGTGACTTAATTGAGTAGGAAAAATTTAAATGGGAATTTCACTTGCTTGAAATATAGTGTTGCTGTATTTATATTTAATGCAATTACATCAATAATAATCTAATAATAATAATAATAATAATAATAATAATAATAATAATAATAATAATAATAATAATAATAAAGGTGGCTGGTGAGAGTATGGGCTTGGCATCACTGCTTAGACACCTACCCTTGTGACCTGGACCCAGATAAGTGACAGACAGTGGATGGATGGATGGATGGATGGATAGACAGACAGACAGACAGAAAGATGGATGTCTAACAACCCTCAGAATGGGCAGACAGGAATACTATGATAAACATAAAAGAACCATGCAATAAGAAGGAGATACTATGGTGCCGATGCGTTTTTTAGTTTTACCTCTCTCCATGCAGGGAAGATTGCATAACATGCCTTTCAGTATAAAGTGCACCATTTGTTCTATAGCAATTTCCATATAAATTGTAAATGGCCATAAAAAGCTATTGACATTCACCTTCATAGTTGGTAGCCAAAGCTGCTTTCTTATTCGTTTATATAGTAGGATGTTTTAGAGCGAGAGAGGTAATATGTCAAGGGGACTGCAGTATCCTCTTGAAACTGGGACCGACAACCTTTAACCAACTGGGCCGTCACCCTCTAGAAAAACAGCACATTTCACTGATAGTTTTTAAGTATTGTGTTAATGTGACATTTGTCTCTGTTCCCTAAACCTACACAAATGAAATACCATAAAAAAAATTCACTCGTGTGTTGAATAATAACATGAACACTCTCCGTTCCCATTTGTGACAATAGTCAAAAGAACTGCAGCTACACCATCTGAATGTTCAAAATAACTATACACCCCCCCCCCCCCATTTATCCACCTGCTTATGCTGGAGGGGTCACATAGGGCACCAGGCAGCAGTGCGTCCTAGACAGGAAGCAGCCAATTGCAGTAAACATATACTAGGCATTTTTTAAATGGCAGTTAGCCAAACTGCATTTTCTTACTATGGAAAAAAAACTGCAGTGCCTGGAGGAAACCTGGAGGAGCATGCAAACTGCACATGCACAGATCGAAGACAAGCATCGAACTGCGCAGGTCTGAAGCAGCAGTGCTATACACTGCACCACTGTGGTGCCCAACTATCCTCCTGGGACATTAAGCAGAATAAACCTGCATGTGTTAAACAACCATTCTATAAACTTAAAGGAAAGTAGGCTTCTGACCCTTTATGCCTGCAATTCTGCAATCCTACCCAAAGTCAAGCAAAAAAACTTGCAAAATGAACTTTTATTGAGATTCAAGATTTTATTTGCCACATGCACAGTTATACCAGAGCAACTGGCGATGAAATAATTACAATACCCATTCAGATTACAGTTCTAAATATGGTGCGTAAAGTGTATAGCGCTTATTGCAATATCAGGTGCTATTTGGAAATGAGAACAATTCTTTGTGTATTTCTTTCACATTCACAAGTGTCATGTGAGAAGGTCACTGTGGGTGGGAGTATTTCCTGGAAGGCAGGTTATAAAAGCTAGGACCTCACCTACAAGGCTCACCCTGGTCATAATCACAGAATAAAAGTGTCCACTTAAACATAAAAACATATTTTTATACCAATTATTATAATTACCATTCTGGACTACTAATTAGTTATGGTTATTAGGCTTTTTTGGGCAACAGTTATACTGCTGGAATGATTGAACTTGTTACAACCTGCATGTCATTGACCATTAACAGCATACAACTGCACTTCAGTAAACTTAAGGAAAAATCGTTTTGCATGAGAGAAAAAGGCAAATCTTTACAAACAACAATCGACTCGATGAACACACAATGTGAGATCACCTATGTGGCAAAACAAAACCTATTAACCTGCAGCATACCAATGTGTTCTTCAATGGAGTTGTAAGATGTTGCTTTTCAACTGATATTGAGTTTGTTAACTGTAACACTGATGTTGCTATATCACAAATGATGTGGGGTATCAAGAAGAATTTCTTGCTTTTTTGGAACTTTTATCTTCTATAGAAGAAAGTTAAAGAAAAATTTAAACTGAAATTGACCAGTGGAAGAACAAAGTTTAATTTTAATCTATTTCAAAATCCTTTGCTAGCTACAAAAAAATTTAAAAGTACTTCCAAAGTGTTTTTTTTTATTACTTCTAAAGTTTCATAAAGGTGACATTCAGGGAATGTGTTTTTGGCAAAGAATTAATAAAATAAAAGGCAGAAAAAGTTAACAAATCAGTGAACAATTCTGAATGAATCCTTTTGTTGTCAAACAAGTATGGAAACAATGAAAAGAATCGTGATTTCTATCTGAACATGTGCATTCCCTGTCACAGTGGTGCTGAAGTCCCAGTGCAGTGTCAGGGAGCAGACCTGCGGAAAACCTTCATCTAACAAAGCTTTGTCATCTCAGGACTCTGAGGCCCAGTTGACTGCTTGATAAACAGTGCAACATTTCCCAGGTAGATTAAAGCTGTTTCATCAGTCTCTGTATGCCCCCCCCCATACACTTGATCTTGCGTTACGTTAATGTAATTTCTGGGTGCGGTTGTCACTCGTTGACTTTTTACATAATTAATACGTGCTCTTGTCTCAATAGAAGGGCTTAATGTAATAGATCAGTGAATCGGTGTAAGAGTCCATTTTAATGTAAACTCTGCACTTGCAAATGAAATTTTCTGTAATTCATGAGCAGAGATTAATATTCTGTGGATTCTAATAACTACATTTCTTTTTTGGTCTTCTTTTTGTTCAGCTCCCTTTTATTGCAGAATATGTTATTGTATAAAGGGTGTTCTTCTTTCCATATTTGATTTTGGGGAAAAATACTTTTACTAGTACCAGTAGTGAAATGGGGAACTAGATCTGACAACAAAAGATCTTCTCAGGTGAGAGTCCCAGGGGGGAACATGTGTTCCATGCTACCGTGTGCCATCCAGCAGGGCTTGATGCTGGGTTACTTTACACACACCCAGCCACTCCTATTCTGCTGCAGCAAGCATTTTGAAACAGGTGGAATCCAAGACAAAACACAGGATGAGGCAGACAGATGGTTTGTCACCCCTGGACCTTTTATTTTCTCAGGCAAACAAAAAGAATAATCCAGCAATCCCCAGAAAGCCAATAAAGTGATGTTCTATTGGCTCTCTGTATGACCAACATTTGAAAAGTCCAACAGTGGCTTAACCCAGCTCGTCAGTCTGGGTGGAGAAGGGTACCTTCAATCGAGGGCTGATAAGAGGATCTGCAGGAGCCTCATGCAGATTAGCAAGCCTGTACTACAAGGTGCCAGCAATTTCCAGGATTTTCCCAATTATAATTCTACAGGTGCTCCACAGACCCACATGGATGGATAAAGACCAGCAACACAATAGAGGATGCTGGTAAGCCTTGGAAGGACTGTGTAGCCAACCCCTGAAAGGAAAAATTCTGTATTTCCTTACTTCTGTCACCCTACAGCAGGTCATTATTCTTACCTTTACTTCATTTCTGTCTTTTCTCACCCTCTATACGTTTTAATCTGTGTCTAATCATCATTTATCATTCTCCTACTTTCACCTTCATAGTCGCTAAACCTGCAACAAGGTGGATGTGTCACGGAGAATGTTGGGGACAACCTGAACTCAGAAAATGAGGAATCAAGCAAAAGGTCACATGCAAAAGAAGTCTAAAATTAAAACAAACTCTCACACCACAACTCAAGAATGAGAGACAAGACTTTGCCACTTGGCTAAGGTCACCGGGATAAACCAGGTGGTACTACACATGGGTGAAAACAATCTGGTAGCTGGAACAGTCCATTTAGTACTGGGTGAGGTTTGCTGGGCACGACAGGATGCAATTAATCATCACAACCCTGAAAATTTCATTGGGGAGCCTGAAGACCCAGACAGAAGATGGAACATTCTTGAGGAACGACAGCCACGTGACTTGACGGCACCTAATAAACTCCCAGGAATTGTATTTCATGATTAATGAAGGATTCCGTTTCCTTAAAATTTCATTCTGTTTCAAATTGTAATTTGTATTATCTGCAGGGTCAGTGGCTGGCAGAGGTGTTTAAACTCCTTCGCTGTCCTCCAACGGAGCTTAAACCCGCAGCTGCAGAGGAGGCAGCCAGATGGATAAAGGCCAGTATTAGCCGTGACTTTTAGGCAAAGGAGGGAGAGGAAGGAGTTATTAATAGAACCTGACCAGGGAGAGACAAGTGCTTTGCGTGCATTTCTCATACACCCAAGGCGACACCCCACAGCAGAGTTATTTAAATGACCAGATGTAGATCAAATACTTTCTTTCTAAGGACAGGTACTTTTTGTGGAGTCAAATCATCATTTTTGGACAAGTGATGGGAGTCATTTCTCCTGCTTTTAACCTTATGGCCATGCTCTTATTATGAAATATATACTGTTAACTATGACTGAATTAAGATTCACTGTGGGGATTAAGACATGTATGCTGGGGCATCGGAAATAGGGGAGAACAGGCGAGACACGGCCCCCGAATATCAGCAGACCCCCCCAAATAAATAACGGTGTTTCTTATATTTTATTATGAATGCAGGCATTACTGCGGCCAATTCACTGCACATGCAGAGAGCAAAGACAAAACAAATACTTTATCACATGGATCAGTTATTTTTTGTTATGTTTTGGAAACTACAACCTAAACAGTGTTAATCTTATTTAAAATAATCTTTATCATTTAGAAACTTAAAAATCTTTCTTATATCGCATCATTTCACGGTGTGACTATTGCATGTTTGCCAATTGTCATGTCATGATAAATGTCACATATCCACAACCCCCCCCCCCCCCCCGGGGCAAATTCAGCCCCCCCAATGTCAAACTCCTTCCAACACCAGTGCACATATGTATCAGCTAAAACTAAAACATGATGCTTCCAGTCAGTCTCTCTGTTTCTTCAAACCTG